AACAATACAGTCTTCTTGTGATTATGTAGCAACATGCAGTGAGTGATGTAACAACTAGTAGCTTCATTCCATTCCTAATATTCCTCCGCTTCTCTTGTGAGATTGTCATAATATTTTTGTGCGCAATTTCTATATTATCTACAGCCCAAACGATTCTAAAAAGAGTTTTATATATATGTATGTAAAGACACACTGGCTAAGCTATTTTAGCAAGTTGAAATGACAAATTAAGCTTCAAGTTTGCAGAAAAAAATTGTAAATTTACAATAAATTTTATATATAAATAAAATTTTGGTTTGTTCTATGACTGAATATTGTACTTTATACTTTTCATCCCGTTCTTCTATCGACGATTGACTTTTCCTTTGCACTGCTCATAATATAAATAGAAAAGAATGCGTCCGTGAGTGAACAACGGTATGTTGTGCAAAACTCAACAATTTGTCTTTATGGACCCATCTGTAGGCTACAGGTTCAGCTCGACGTTTTCCATTACGTGATTTCTAAAAAAAGCGCTTGCGCACATTCCTATTCTTAATCTAGGCATAGTACATATACTCACATCATTAAACTCAATGGAATGCACAATATAACGCTTTCTACAATCCATAAGAATCCGTGTGAAATATAAAGTGTTTGAGGATATATGTATAAAAATAAAATCGATGAAAATATATTGAATGCACCTTCAATTCCCGACAATAGTGCAAGAGCCGACCCTAAAATATATCAAGAATTTGCATTTTCAAAGTTGAAAACAAAAAATACATTTTATTACGGAAGATTTTGGAATTAAAATATGTATGTATTATACCTAAGATAATATACATTATGCTTAGTCATGTTTGCATTTGGCAAAACCGATAACTGTCTGTTCCAAACAACGCAAAAAAGTGAGATTTTATAACTGTCCTTAATGGCAATGCCAGTTTAAACAATTTTATAAACTGGTATTAGAAAATTCAACTAAAGCTTTACCTTGTTCTGAGGAAGATACAAGCAACGATATTTGTGATCGTATCATAGGATAAGTGAAATCATAAAGAACTCCGAGACTTGTTGCTAAAATATTACTTGTATGTCAGAAAAATGAAAAAATTTTGGCACAGTCAGATTAAAATAATGTTCAAACATAAATTATTTACTATACAATTCTACTGCATGATTAATGAAATTGCTGTATGTATTGTCGTTAACCTCAGGGCCACGAACTGTCTTCGATAGAATGATAAAAAATTACTTTTCTCAAGTTGCATAAAGCCTATATATATATATATATATAAATTGCCGAACACGTTAGATTGAAAACGACTACCGTTTTATTTCGGTTTTGATATTCCGGTCGATATTGAAAAATTTAGTAGTATAGAAATTTTACCCAAAAAAATTAGAAGAGGAGATTCAGCTAAGCCCATCAACAGGGTGCTTGAAACACGGGTACAAATTGTGAGTAACAGAAGGCTCTGATTCTTCAATCCCAGTACAGACTCACAAAATTTCATGATGACTGGACCAAATATCACAATGCTGCTAGCAATACCCTGTCCAAGTAAGTAAGGTGGTATTAGGTTCAACTCCAGTAGTAGAAATACTTTACCAATCTAGATTTCGAAAGGGACTACACAATTGATTTTGATGCAATGATCCCAGAATGAATTGGACAAAAACTTCCATTCCGTAAAATTCAAGGCATACTGGAAATAATCTGAAGTTCAGTTCAATATTAAAATTAAAAAATGTACCCCGTGTCTGTACTAGGTGTGAGACATTCGCTATTCGGTACTCCCGTAGTATGTGTACCACCAAGTTAGGGCTAGGCTAGAAAGTAGGCGGAAAAAATTAATTGGATCAACTATTCTCCTCCCCCGGACCCGCCAGGGGAGGAGAATATTGAGTTGGACTCATCTTGGGGGGGGGGTCTTCATTTGGGGTGGAGATTCTTCAGTTGATCCTTTTTACCAACTGATTAATACCAGTTGATCCTTTATTTGACCTGGACTAATTATTTGGTAGGGTTAAGGTTAGGGTTAGATGGTCTTAGTTGGGGTGGAAATTCTACAGTTGGTCTAACTTGGGGTGGAGATTCTTCATGTGGTACCCCGGGGGGGGGGGGGGGGGGGGGGGGGGATTTTCAGTTGATCCAATTTATTACCTCTATATTGGTACGCATACTATTCTCATGAAAAAAAAATTGTGACTTGTGATTAGTATATATTGAGGAAAATTGAAAAACATACATTTTGAAGACCAACCAAACCGGGTGTGAAGCACATTGGATATGAAATAAGAAACAACGTCTCAAACGAATCACCGCCGGTAACTCCAAATGCGTACCAAGCATAGGTAATAACAAAGAACCAGAGGCGCCATAATCTTCTTTTGTAAATACATCTTCTGGTCACCGTTTCGTCTAAACAATGTATATTACAATCACAACCTTAATAAGTTTAAGTCTCGTCAATAATTTTATAACTTAGTCATTTGTAATGAGTGGAATGTAATGTTACAATTACCTCTTACACAGTCACAAATAATCTTTTCTTCTGTATATATGCTCCAAACGACTTTGATTTGCAACCACAATGTCAATTTTGGTGAATTCACTGTCATTTCTTCTGTGTCGCCGTAATATACACAAATCGTCCGATTGATCTGCACTTATTTGGCTCAGTTGAGATTGGATGATTGAATATGCATAATTTGACTCATTGCATTTGCGATTTGGAAGTAATGAATCAGTTTTGCAAATTGCAGAATCCGGTGATTCATTTGTTTCGTGCTCATTTGATGTCATCATGGGAATAAATATAATTGGTATGATTCCGCAAACTGTGATAAAAATCGAACTCGGAATAAAGCTTTGAGAATCGATCCAATATCCGGAAGCTATAAGGACCATTCCACTGCCAAAATTTGCACAAACTTCTAAAATTGTGAAGCTAAAAAGCATGGTGAAAAATGGTAAGGTTATCTAACATTTCCAAGTAATATTGTTAAGAGCGAAACTAATGCAGTCTGGACTATGTCTATATGTGACAACATTTCCACCTTTATAACTAGAAAATTATATAATTACTAGATTACAACGTTAGCAGAAATGGTTTATACCCAAATTAGCTACGATGAATATACTTGCGAGAGTTGCGACCTCGGAAAAGTGGACAAAATTACTGTATTTTCGCCATTGGGTCCAGCTATTATATGCATTTGTGTATGGGCAACATCTTGAGATATTCGCCATTGTAATTGTAAGCTATGCACAGCATGTTTTGTATTAGTCTCATCAAGTTTAAGAGCCAATATAATAAAAAATGTTCAATGAACCCGAAGCATAAACATCTTTCACTTGTAATCCTTTGAGGTGTTTTTAATTAAACCAGATCCTATAGAACAATTCTAGTTCACCTGGTTTTGAAGTCGACATATTCAACTCAAATTAAAATTCATAATAATGTGTGACTAGCCCGGGGCGAAAAAGGAAGGTTATAAAATTCTGCAATAAACCAGAAGTGTAAATACACTTCGGCTAGAACGAAATAAATAAATGCAATAATCTCACCGCTTGTTTCGATCTCTTCGACTCGTTATGTCGCTCAGATACGCGGTACCAATATTTAAAATTGCTACATATGAACCGGAAGCTCCGTATATAAAACTGACAATAATCATACAATATAAAGGCAGTCTATAAAAAATGAATTTATATTAATGTTATCAAGCGTTGGTACACTGCTTATACTGCAATACTTATCAATGACTAACTGAAATGAGTTAATAAACAAAAATGTAATCATATTTTCAATTCGTTTATTTCTGCGTTAAACATAAGCCAGTGAGATACCGGGTGCTGCTAATTAGCATCACGTTATATTTTCACTTTAGCTGCAACTACCTGTGAAATATTACTACTGTTTGTACCGCCGATGCAATTGCTGTTCCGAATATTGGAAATGAAATAGCCCGTTTTCGACCAATTTTATCGCTCCATGCTGTGACGATCAGTGAGAAGATGGCACAAGGCATGAAAAATGCCAAACTAGATAACATTGTCCACCTGAATAAGTGAAAATAAAATTAATATCTCCATTTTGGCACAAAAAAAAACTATTGGTTAAGCATGACAGTTGTTAATTAATTATAATTTGGGCTGAACATTTTCGAATACCTGATGATTTTAGAATCAAATTGAATCCCGGATACTTGGAAGATATTCAAATTAATAGAACGGCCTAATTGCCTAAGACTTTTTTATTGTTAAAACCCCTCCAGAAACATGAATTACTAAAAATATAGATTTCACAAATCAATTAGTTCGCTGAGTTGTCACACACAATAAAAAACATGTTTCATTAAATAACTCACTAAAAATAGGAGACATATGTAAATATGGCATTTTAAATACTAAAGATGTGATTCTGGGCATGTTTCCCTGTATAGAGAAACGCCTGGAGATGGTTTCACAACAAAATTGAACGATTCACTTCAAATTTTGACAGAAATGATGACAAAAACACAAAATGGCGGCGATTCGAAATATTTGTCTGGGCCGAATCGAATATGTCCACTATTCATTTCGAAATGCCCAGCCCTATTAAAAATAATATAAACAGAAGATACGATGGATTGATTTGATTTTTTTGTTTTGAGCTTAGTCCTTACTAAATCAATTGTCAACTCTGAGTGAAAACTTAATCAACTTCGTTTTATACAATTTGACTTAATATCAAATTTTTCTGTTTATATATACGTTAGATATACGTTGATAATCTAATCACATATGAATAATATGAGTAACGCAATTATTGGACAAAAAATGAGCCTATGGATCGTTTCGAATTGCTTCGAAATTTTCGACGGTTGAAGGTTGTATTCGTCGCTAAAAGGCTATTACTTTTATTTATTTAAAAAATTGTTGTGGGTTTTATGACTATGATAAAAGAATAAATTATTTTGATCCATGGAGAAACAAAAGTAGCACCATACTTCACCTCGACGCGTCTTTGATTACCATTTGGCTCTTTATAGATTCACCACTATGTTTTGAACAGTAATTGACAGAATTATTCAAAGTGTAGTTGTGAAATTCTGATATAATCTGGAAGCAAATATTCAGAAATTATCTCAAATTAATGTTGAAGTGATTTTAATTTATTCGGGAGCATTTGCTCGGGAAGTAGATCGCAACATTATTGTTTCAATATCTTATACAAGTAACACACCTAGCTATATTACAATTTTTACAGGTACAGAAATTATTTGACGCACTTACCATATATATATATTCACTTTGTATTGTTTGAAAACTATAACCGCAAGCACAGCTAAAAAACACAATTGCTTCTACAGGTATGGAAAATTGCATGACATCACCATTGCATGTGCTCACCTATAGCTTTAAAATACTAATGTGGGGGAAACGATCATGCAATCCATTGAGTTTCATAAATCCTATGTGGCATATTTCGAAAGGAAACATATGGTTGTAACATAATGGTATATAGACACAACTCATTAGTAATTTAATTATGATGCATTTAATGACTGTCATTTTTATTCACTGTACCTTCATCATTTTGTATTAGCTAATCGGCCTAATATTTTTTGGGGCTAGCTATTTTATCAGTATTTATGACAAGGTATCTTGGGAATGAGATCAATGGTTGTAACGCACGGATTGGAGTCTCCAAACTGCGCTACGTTTATACCCAACCACTTTCAAGTACCACGTCCCGGTTCTCCTACAATTTGCAATGCAATCTCGTAACATTCAGTCCCCACTCACAGTCTTGAACCACTGAACTTTTGAACCCCAACACCTCACAAGATCACACCAACTGAAAGAACTTTGTTGTAATATTCCAACTCGAATACACGCAGAACAATACGGCGATAACACTCCCACGTAGAGAATAGCCAATTTGTAGATTAAACAGTTAAAGGTGTGAGTTAAGTTTGAAAGCATGAGCTGATTTCAAATATTGATAGATTCCGGGATTGAATAGCTAAATAAAAAAGAATTGGTAAATACTCACAGATAAATCCCAGCATAAACTAACATAATGATTCCTACTTAATAGTAAGCTAACAGTAATCTAAAACGACTCATAATACATACACTCTAAATCCTAAAAAGACGACAAAGTACATAATAGTAGATTGCGCCATAACTAGCTCGCCTCGCTCACGCACAACAGAGAGTAATACAAGATACTAACTACAGAGCAAGAGTCGTCGTCGGTCGATTGCCGCAGCCAATGGCGTGCAAGGTAAACACATATATTGCACCATATCTAATCTTACTCTTTCGAATACAATAAAGAAGAAACACAAGAAATACCAAAAATGCGACCTGCGTCCATTACACCGGCCCCTAAGAACCGTCTACATCCCACGGTTATTACCGACCACTATAAGGACGCATGTCTCATTTTGACGAAATGAAAACATGAAAAAAATACACAAAAATTACAATACTCCTCCAAAAGACACAATTTACGAATGTCTCGCATGTAACTAGAATCCGCAGTCCTCACACGTACACTACGGACATGCCCATCTGAATCAGGAAACACTTCCACGATTAACCCCTTTGGCCAGAATCCCCTCTTCGTTTTCTCATCCACAATAAGAACAATATCTCCAACAGCAAAGTTTCTCACAGGTTTGTGCCATTTCTGCCTTAACTGCAATGTTGGCAGATATTCTTTCAACCACCTCTTCCAGAAACAATCTGTCATCATTTGTACCTGTCGTCATGACTTCTTATATCCATCCGCTTCCATGAATTGATCAGGAGGAAGATTCGGTTTGGCCGCCAAGTAACAACATATTAGGACTCAAAGTTGCGAGATCATCCGGGCAATCTCCAAGCGGACAAATTGGTCTCCCATTTAAAATGCTTTCACACTGTGTTGTGAATGTATGTAGAGCATCATCATCCAACAACCTCTCCCCAGCAATTGCTCTCATCAATTTCCGAAAAGATCTTATCATTCTCTCCCAAGCTCCATTTGTATGAGAAGCTAAAGGCACAGAAAACCACCATTCAATATTTTGCTGCTGCATAACTTTACAAATTTGATTTTGATTCCAATTTTGAATCCCTTCACGAAGTTCTCTCTCAGCACCGATGAAGTTTCGTTCCATTTTCACTGTACATCTTTCTTGGTCGCCCAAGCCGGTTTATAAATCTCTGAAATACATTAATGAACGATGAAGTATCCAGTGAATAAGCAATCTCGATATGAACTGCTCGAGTAGCCATACAACTGAACATCGTACACCCATATCTTTTCTCCTCACTCCTGCCTCTCTTCACCAGTATTGGTCCGAAATAATCACAGGCAGTTTCCATAAAAGCATGTTCACTAGGTGTCACTCGAACTTTTGGTAACGGTGCCATCACTTGCTCCCCCACCTTAGAGTTCCATCTGCGACAAGTAAAACATTTGCTCAATCTCCGACGCACAGTTGCATGTCCCTTGATGATCCAAAATTTCTCACGAATTGCAGATAAAACATGCAAAGTACCACTGTGACCTTCTCTTTCATGATACAAATCAATCACTAAATTTGTAACAAGACTATCACTCGGCAAAATTACTGGATATCTACTTTCCAATGGCAGATGTGAACGATCAAGACGACCACCAACTCTCAAAATCCCATCCACAACAATAGGATTCAGTTTCTGTATTGATCTCATCTGCTCATTTCTCGATAATGACTTCTTCGGCGTTCTGATGATCCTTTCTTCCAAAGATGAATGATTATGCAATGCATCAATTTGTTTTCCAAACTGCTCCATTTGCACAAATCCTACTATGCAATCAATCGCACAATTCAATTCACGAATCTCAGATGTCCTCGTTGCAGCTGACTAATATCTCCATCACCTCGAGATTTAGCCACCTTCCATTTGAGATAAGATCGATATCTCAACAGCCAAGCTGTCGATCTCTGAAGTTTCTCCAATTTAGAATATCTCGAAAGCAAACGCTTGATTGGATTTTCCTTCAAGTTATCTTTAACACAATATACAGTCAAATCCTGTTTAAATTCAGGGTCACTTTTTGATATGCCACGCATAGGTTTTGATTTTGGCCACATGCACTCTTCCTTCGTCAAAAAAGCAGGACCTTCAAACCAAATCTTTGCCTTGTCCAGCTGATACGGTTTCAAACCTCGAATGCAATATCAGCCGGATTACATTTCGTGTCAATATGTCTCCACTGCGAAGGCTCTGATCCCTCATGAATAACAGCAAGACGATTCGCCACAAAGGTATAAAAACGTCTTGTGGTATTAGTGATATACTGCAACACTGACATGAATCGGTCCAATAAATTACTCTATCAATTTTATACTCCAGCTGAGTCTTCACAAACTGACCAAACTTCACTGCAACCACTGCCGCAGTCAACTCTAGCCTTGGTATGGTCACTAGTTTTGAAGGTGTCACTCTTGACTTTCCCATAACACAACTACAGTGCACCGATCCATCGAACTTTTCAACATTCGCAAATAGCATGCACATCCATATCCAATTTCACTTGCATGACAAAAATATGCATTTGAATCTCACCAGGGTCATTCGTATTCGAAGATATTAAACAACGAGGAATGGAAACACTTTCCAGGTGAGGTAAGTCTTGCAACCAGTTTAACCAACAAGCCTTTTCAGCATCAGGAATTTCATCGTCCCACCCCAAATCTTTCTGACATAACTTCTGTAGAATTTTCTTCATAGGCAAAATGAATGGCTGCAAAAATCCAATCGGATCAAATATCTGGTTTATGGTAGAAAGCATACCCCGTCTTGTAGTTGGTTTGTCTTTCACATTAACCTTAGTCACAAATTTATCCAAATTAGTATCCTAATATAACCCCAGGGCTCGTTCCACTGGTAGATTGCCAAGATCCAAATTCACCAAGGTCTTCGCTCGTTAACTTTCTGGAATTCGCTCAAGCACCTCACGACAATTGCTGATAAATTTCGTTAGATGGAACCCGCCGCTTTCTAGTAGGATAGACAATTGCTTCACCAAATTGATAGCACCACCACTCTTTGCCAAGGATTTCAACAAATCGTCAACATAGAAATTCTTCAGCACAGTATCAACTACAAATTGTTCCACACCTGGCTCATTATCTGAAGCACATCTCCTCAAAGCGAAATCTGCAACTGATGGGCTTGAACGGCTTCCAAATATGTGTACCAACATGGAATAGTCACTTGCTGGAGATGACAAATCACCATTTAGCCACCACAAAAAACGAAGCGAGTCACAATCTTCTGGCCTCACTCTCATCTGATGGAACATAGCCTTGATATCCGCCATCACACCAATTCTTTCTTGCCGGAACCTCAACAAAACTCCAGCCAAATTGTCCGCATAATCTGGTCCTTGTAATAAATTATCGTTTAGTGAAACCCCACGAAAAGTTCCGGCCCATAGAAAACTACACGGAATTTTGATTGTTTTGTACTATGATGCCCCAAATAAAAAGTTTTGTCACTAGTCATCAATTCATCATTAGGTATTTTTCTCGCATACCCATTATCCAGATAATCATTTATCACGCTCTTATAACGCTCAAACAATTCTGGGTTTCGAATGAATTTCCTCTTTTGGTACATTAATTGTTTCTCCACCATGGCACGATTATTAGGAAGTTTCACCTCTTTATTTTTCCATGGGAGTTCCACCTCATAATGTCCATTAACTTTTCGAATAGTCTTTTCCATGATAAACAATGCCCGCTTGTCTTCAACGGACAGTGAGGATGCAGATTCACAGGCATTATCATTAAAATCATGCTCATAAATTTGAGACAATTGACGATGTAAAATATTATCATCACAATGAATAAAATTCCCAAAATTATTATCACAATTAGAATCACTCTCAGGGCCAAACAGTGTCCACCCCAACATAGTTTTCACCGCTCTGGGCTGTCCCCTTTTCCAAGTTTAACCTCAAACACAGCATGGGCATCCGGGATATTTGAGCCTATAAGAAGCTTAACCTCCATATGAGTAGAATCAGAAATATCAACATGGGAAAAATGTGAATACACTTCAGTATCACGTACACTGGGAATACTCGATTTCAAGTTGGGCAATCGCTCAACAGTTAGAACTTTATCTAGCACTAGAGAGTTGCCTGCACCCGTTGCAGTCAACAATACCTCAAACCCCTCTTGGATTTTATGACCAGTCACAGTCTGCACAGAAAAATTGGTTCTTACCCCACTTATACCTAGCCCCTCATGAGCCCGTTGGTACAAAGGGACACCGTAGATTCTGGGTCTAACAGGGCATAAGTCGATATCTCCATATCTCCTATGGCCTTACCCCTGACCGTGACTGGTAACACTTTGAGTCTAACATTCCCAACCCCTCCCGTAGCCTCCACGCTACAAGAAGTTGCTCCACACGTATATTTTCCACCGGCCCCACTGACCGGAGAACTCGTCTCTTTACCTGAACAAGAACTTACTCGATTAGTGGAACCACCCGGCTTCTGCCGAGGTGGAAAATGCAGCAGCACATTGTGCTTTTTGCCACATCCATCAACATTACATAACACATTGCGGGTACACTCATTTGCTCTGTGACCATTCAAAAGACAATTATAACACAAATCATTCTTGCCCACCCACAATGACCTCTCTTTAGGAGTCATTTTCTTAAATCTCAGGCATTTTCACAATGTTGATTACCCGACCCACAATGAGGTAAATCAAACTTGGCAATGACCCCCCTACTAGGTATAGCATTAGAATCGGTCACAAAAGAGGACACCCTAGTTTTGGGAACAGTCCCTCGTTTAGGACTTCTCAACTTTTTTTGTTCCCGATTCGAACAGACAATCTCCCCATACATGGTAGAAGCACCACGAGCAATTTTCATTACATAATCCTTTAAATCGGAAAACATGAGTTCCCTGCCCACATCATAAATACCACATGCAATCTTAGAATAGCCAGACTGCAAGTCTTCAGGTAACCGGGAAAAAATCTTTTTCAAATTAACACTATTATTGAGATTATCCATACAATCCCACTGATTAAAAACAATCTCACAACTATCCATTATTGTCACTAACTTGTGTAAGTCAGCCAGTGGCGGCGCGTCAATAGGGCCAACCGGGGCAATGCCCCGGTTGTTTTTTCGCTATAATAAAAAATATTCAAAAAATACCTCAATATCGGTTGCACAGACTGTCTACACTAGCCATATTCTCCCGACATGGTTCATTTTTCGCTCGCAAAGCCTTCGCCGAACGTCGACGGGGCGACGCCGATTTTGCCCCGGTTGCTCATTGTATATCGTATTCTCTCTTTTATCTTCCACACGCCGCGTTTGTCTCGTTTGTTTTCTGTTTCTTTTACTAAATCATCGGGGCCGATCGGGGCTAGCCCCGAAATTATGACGACACAATGCCGACGTTTCTTACAACAACGTGTTGACATATTCACGCATTCCTTCTCGTTCGTTGGTTGCTTGAAGAGTTGATAGTTTCCTCGCCTTCGTTTTTGTCGCTTGTTTCGCTATTTGAATCAGTTAGAGACCTTTAGTCCATTTGCTTTCGATTTTCCACATTCCTTTTGAGCTCCTCACTTCTTTCCGGCTTCGCATTTCTTAGCCTTAGACCTCATAATGAATAAGGTTGATGCACTACTTCGCACTCCGTTTTCGCAGCTGCCGCTGGAACAAAAATTAGAGGTACAACGTCTTGGGCCTTATCAACCAAAAAATTGTTCACTGGAACAATCCCATGACGGAGGAAAGCGTCGGCGTACATTCTGCGCAGAAACTTGGTATAAAAAACACGAATGGTTGTGTTACAGCGAGGACAAAAATGCACTTTTTTGTTTTTATTGCCTACTTTTTGCTACCGCCCGTGACTCACGTTGGTGTAAATTTGGTTTTAGAGATCTTAAACATCTTTCCGAGCGTGCCAGGGATCATCAATCTTCTATGGAGCATCTGGACAATGCAGTAAAATACCGAACATTCGGAAATGTTAATATTGCAGCACAGTTGGATGAAGGACGCGCGGTTTCTATTCGTCGGCACAACCAAAACGTCGAGAAAAACCGCCATGTTCTCGGTCGATTGATAGATGTTTTGAAGTTCATTGGTTGTCACGAGCTGTCCCTCCGTGGGCACGATGAACGGGCTGGCTCTTCTAATAGAGGGGTATTTTTGGATATGGTGGAATACACCGCATCCCTAGATACAGTATTGAGAGATCATCTTGATGCCGCAACTGTTTCGAAAGGGACATCTAAGGATATCCAAAATGATTTGCTCGACTCAATGTATAAAATTTATTTACAACATTTGGCTCTGGAAATTGAGAATTGCCAGTTCCTTTCGATTCAGTCTGACGAGACAACTGACATCACGTGCGTTTCCCAACTGGCTGTGATTTTTCGGTTTGTGAAAGATGGTAAACCTACCGAGAGATTTCACAGCTTTGTACCAATCGTTGATCGCACGGCTTGCGGGATATCGGCTGTACTGAAAGAAGTGTTACAGCCTTACAACGCGAAGTCAAAATTGATAGCTCAAACTTATGACGGCGCGGCAGTCATGAGTGGGTCGAAACATGGTGTTCAAGTTTATATAAAAGAAGATTTTCCTCATGCGCATTTTTTACATTGTTATGCACACCAATTTAACCTCGTTATTAAAAATATGTGTCTTGATACCCCTCTCGTCCGTATATTTTTTGCAAATGTTTCGGGGTTTTCTTCATTTTTTTCCGTTTCGCCGAAGCGCTCTGACCTCCTTCG